CTGTTGTACTCATGAACTCACTACAGCTAAACTTACCCATCCAAGACTTACACAAGATTGGGAAAGTCGGCATTGTGTCATGGGAAGGGGAAGGGCTAATTCAGCCTTACCCTTCCCAGAGGGATTACAGACAGTTAATGGTGACTAGAGGAAGGACTGTCACTTTCTTGAGTGGTTTATTCACTGATAAGTTAGCCATGACCCAGAAAATAATCTCCTAAACATGCTTATACAAGCAACCCCAATTAAACTCAGGGGGTCACACATACAACCACATGAAAACAGAGGCTTGCTGGGAAGAAGGATTTCAGTTGGAGAAGGGGAGACGAGGCAAGGTAACTGAGGGTGGAAATGATTAAAATTCACTATATACGTGTATGAAACTGTCCAAGAATAAGAAATAAAATGATAATCTTCAGCAGGCAGGCGATAATGAAGGAAAGACTGATAAAAGTGAAAATATGTCAATTCATACGAGAAACACAAGATACAGAGAGATTGGAAAACAAAAAGAAAACCAGACAAAAACAGAATAAAGCAACCAAAAGCTAGAGTCTAGAATAAGCAATTGGAAGCTTGAAGAGGAAGATAAAAGAAGATTTGAAAATACTGGGCTGACTAGACTCCAGTGGATGAGTTTACACTGAAGGACATTTGAGTACAAAGGCCTGAATGAATAGGACTTAACATGTATGACAGAATACATGAGGTCTGGTGGGGGGATGGGGGAGGCATGGGGGGGTCTAAATTTGATTAAGAACTGTTGTATGAAATTACAGAAGCTCAATAAAAATATAAAAGAAAGAAGATCTGAAATGAACAGAAAAAAAGTCGAGAATTTTCTAAAATCGAACCGAAGCAGAATAGCATAGACAAGGGTGTTTCAGAGGCCTGAGGACTGACACATGAAAGAATCCAATCCCAGACGAAGACTGGAAATCCTTCCACTGTGGACTACATGAAACAAAAGAGCACGGGGTACAGGTGGGAGCCTGTGCTCTCCGAAGTCAGAAAAAGAAAAGAGTTATTTAAATAATTTATAAGGGATCAAGACTCTCCTGGCCCTTAGGTCTTTCCTAGTTCTCTGGCTCACTTCCAGTCAGCAGAGTCCATTGTCTTCCTTAATAAACTGTCTGATTTCTGCCACTACATGCTCCTGGTCTAATTCTTTCAGTGGGACACAAGAACTGGACACCTCAGCTAGTGCCTTGGGGATTTTGATCCATGCCTATATGATAACCAATGACTATAAATTTACAACAGAATATGCATAAAGAAAAGAACACCTAGACACAACATGGCCAACACACTGAACACCAAAAATAAAGATCATGTTGAAAATGCATACATCAGCAGCCTTCAGCCCAAGCCCCGCCTCCTCCTGAAGGAAAGTCAGTGACTCTCCACCTACTGCTAATGCTGCTGCAGATGTGCTTCCCAGAGGAACTGTTTGCTGCTCCTTCTCAGAGGTGTTCACAGAGACCACAGCATGCAAAGTTGTGGGCATCGGCATGATACAGCATTTTGAACCTTCCTAAAGACATAAAACCTGAAACCTCCTAAAGGCATAAAGGCTTCTGCTGTTGTAACAGAGAGAAGTGTCTGAAATAGGTTAAAAAAAAAAGTCTAGAAACGGAACCATCTGAACAGCAGGAGTACAAAAGAGCTCAAATGTGCTGCGATCCAAAGGTAACATTGTCATCTTTGCATTGAGCCTACAAAATGCAAATACTTGGGTTTTATGACCTTGAAGAAACTGTTCTAGAACTTTAAAAAATATATCTTTTGGTTTTTGACAGTAATTTAATTGTACTTCGTGTTAATCTTAATATGCCGTACAAAAATTGGACTTGTATGCAAAGATTATCTGCATTTATTCAATGCTTAGAAAACAGGATTTCAAAACTTAAAGCTGTCTGGGATACCAGGTACGTATAACTTAAAATAGGAAGTTAAAGAATTTTAGGTATAAACTGGTCCTTTTTAAATCCTCTCTGCAAACTGTGAGAATCTCTCTAAAATCCTCGTGTTTCTGTTCAACAGCTGAGATTTATTTTCTTTTTCTGCAGTTAGTGCTTGAGAACTCTTGACAAAGTCTTTGCTGCATCCGAATACCGAATACACTCTCAGGATCCTTGCTTCAAGAGTCACAAATTAAAAAATATGAGACTTAGAGTCATTATTTTCTTAGTTTAGAAATACACAGAAAAGCTTATAAAAGTCAGTAAAATAGAAAATATTTAATCAAATATAAGGCCAAAACACATGGTAGCTGTTATGGTTTGGATTATGAAGTACCCCCCCTACTAAGGACCTGTGCCAGCTCCCAGCTGTTGGCTCTATTGAGAGAGAACAAGGACAATAACTTCACCAGTGGGTGAATCCATGGATGAGCTCAGAGCTGAACGAGTCACTGAGGTCATGCTTGAGGGCATAGCCAGTCCCTAGCCCTTCTCTCCTCTCTGGCTGCCATGGTATAAGTAGTTGCTTTCTGCTGGGCCCTCTTACCATGATGTTTCTGCCTTGCCACAGACATAAAGTAGCAAACTACCAAGAATGACAATATACCTTTCCTCTTGCTTCTCTCAAGTATTATGAGAGTGATTAATAAACAGTAACAGTAGGCAAGGGAGTTGCAGTCAGTTTGCTGCTGCTACTTGTCTGTGCCTCAGTTTCCCATTTTTAAAATAGGATCACAGCTCTCTCACAGTTTTTATGAGGCAAAGATGAATTACAAATTAATAGGTTTGGAGGTCTTGAAGTTACCATCGTGATGTGTTCCATGGCATGGTAAGCACTGTCTTCGTACTTATTTGTATCTAGTATTATTGTCTTTTACAATTTCATATTAAAAAATAATTTTAACTGACCTAGAAATGTTATTTTCTTAAGAACAATGAAAAAAGTTTTTTCCCCTTGAGGGATTTAAACAGCTTCTTTGGTGATATAATCATTTCTATCTTCAATAATCAGGTGAAGCTATGTACTATACATTCTGGTCAGCATCATTCATTTCTAACAAATATAATCTTTGCTTATATATTGGCATCTTTCAAATAAACACATTGCTGTCATTTTGAGACTATTCACATATAAAGTAACTTTTTATTATATATATATTCTCTCCTTCTACCTTTTAAGTTCTGGGAACCTAACTTAGGTCAACAGACTGACAGGCAAGTGCCTTTACCCACCGAACCATTTCATCAGCCCTAAAATTAAATCAAGCCTCTTTAATAATGCTCATTATAAAAACAAATACCTTGAACATTGTATATTTAAATAACATAATAAAAAGTAATACTTCTTTAATCTTATGTAATAATTCTTATTCAGTAAATCCTCTCTCCCTCCCTCCCTCTTGGCAGCAAAAGAGGAGAGAGGAAGGGCTTGGGATTCCTTATATTCTCTAGCATACCCTTGGTCACCTGGAGACCAGCTTGGGCTGCTAGGGATCTTGTCCAGAGATGGAGGGAGGGAGGGAGGGAGAGAGCTAAGGATGACCTTGAATTTATTCTCCTGTCTCTACCTCCAGGGTGCTAGGATCATGAGTATGGTAGGCCTCAAACCCATGGCCTCATGCATAAGAAAGCACTCTACCAACTGAGCTATATTCACAGTCCCTAACACTAATATGAATAAAATTCTCTAAAGCAGAATGAGAATCTTGCTGTGGTGTGGCTCACCTCACCACAAGGATGGGAAGAGTACTTTCCTAACAGGACCAGGAAGGGTATCTTTTGTATATTCTAGAACTGAAGTAGAAGGCTAGACTGGGAATGATATTGCTGCTATGTGTTTTCTCCAAAGTCATTATTTTATAGGTAAGATTAAAAAATGAAAAAGAAGGCTAAATTGGAGCTACTTTAAAGAGGATCAAGCACAACTCTTAAAATGTGCAAAAATCTATCCCTGATAAGCACATCATAAAAACAACTAAGAAGAAACCCTGTGACAGAGAATGCAACAAAAAGAGGTATAGAGCAAAACCAAGACCAGATATTTGACAGCAAAGCAGGCCCATTCTAAGTGTCTGTGCCCTGAGCTGGACAGGGAGCTAAGTAACATATCCGGAAGCAGGGCCCGTGGTATACGTCATTTTAAAAATCTATTTCTATTTTATGTGTATGCCTGCAGAGGCCAGAGAGGGCATTGGATCTCCTGGAACTGGAGTTATGGATGGTTGTGAGCTGCCTAGGTCCTCTGCAAGAGCAGCCAGTGCCTTTATCCACAGAGCCACCTCTCCAGCCCCATAGAGGCACGAGAGGGCTTTGGTTCTCCTGGAACTGGAGTTATGGATGGTTGTGAGCTGCCATGTGGGTGCTGAGAACTGACCCTAGGTCCTCTGCAAGAGCAGCCAGTGCCTTTATCCACAGAGCCACCTCTCCAGCCCCATCATCCCCATCATACATCATATTTAAAGCATGTGAGATAGAAGTTTTAATCTGAAAAGACATATATAACAAAATGACAATAGTCCAGTGAGAGCAAAAGACACAAGGGACACCCCAGAAACAGAATGGGACACAGCACTTGGTGCACCCTGTAATGCACTGAGCTACACTCCCATGTTTTGCAACCTCCATAGATGTTACCTTTGTAACATCTTTCCTCTAAATATTTTGTTTACATTTCCCGGTAGCCAAATTCTGACATACTTGCCTCTGTGCAAGAGTATTCCTTACAAATTTCTTATAAATGATTATTTTGTAAAACTTTACATTTTTCTAGTGTTAAAACATTAACATTTATTTGATACTTGACCATTAATAAACCCTGCAAATTGATTCAAAGTCTAAGAATCAGGGTCCTTTTGAAGGTTTGGATTTTTCCTTTTTTTACTGAGTTGTCCTTTTAAAATTTTATCTTCAAACATCCACTGTAAACATGAACATAATTTCAGATGCATCACTTTTATTTCTCATGTGAAGTTAAATATATTTCTTTTAAAACGGGCATGGCTTTTACGATCAATGTCAAGAAACAGAATATAATCTTACCCTGGTGTGAGTACGAATGTGCATCTTCAGTCCATCATTTTTACTGAATCCTTTTTCACAGTAAGGACACTGATAGGGACGCTCACCTACAAACAAAGGAATCCTCCATGTCAGAAAAACGTGAAGAAAGAGAATGTGCCCAATGCCACTGCTGCTCACAGATCCTGGCTGGCATAGGAGGGGCACCAGGCCCAGCCAGGCAGAGAGAAGCACAGGTGGTAAAGGAAGTATGCACTGTGCTTCCCAGCAAGCAAAGGACACAGCCCCCAGCACACCCACCACCCAGAACCGCACAAGTAGCCCACAGGTTTCCTGCACGTTCCTTCAGATATATGAATGTTACCGAATCTTCTAATTTTAAAAACATAAAAATGTTTTATATTAAACAATTTGTTCTGGCACAATACTACTTTATTATACAGATCTTTCTTTAACAAGTCTATTCACAACTTTCTTTCATAAAGGCTTTATATTAATGACTGCCTCGTGGCTAAGAGTTTAAAAATAATTCCATAAAGCTGGTACACAAGTACTGGTACTTGAACTTCATAATAATTGATCCACAGCTTCTGATATAACCAAGTGGCTCTCACCTAAGGCTATAACTCAGAAAATGGGCAAACTGTTTTTTAAGACAAGTAATACAACTTAGAAAAAAACCCTTTGGTTTCAAAAAGACAAAATGATGGGGCTGGAAAATGGCTCAGTGGTTAAGAGCACTGGCTGCTCTTGTAGAGGACCCAAGGAAAGGACCCAGCACTTACATGGTGGTTAAGGACCATCAGTAACTCTAGTTCTAGGGGATCTGGCTTCTGTGGGGATTTCCCACACATGATACCCTTACTTCATGCTGTCAAAAAATACTCATACACATAAAAATAGTAACATATTAAAAAGAAAAAATGTGTCAAAGTGGAATCTTATAATTATTTACCATAATTATTAGGTCAAAATCACCAAGTTTCTTTATCCTTTCATTGAACAACTGGCAAAGAAGGCAGAATGCTAGAAACTTGCTACATCAAAGATTAGGAAAGGAAAAAAATCGTTCTCAGCTAGGACTGTGGTCAAGCCCTTTGCTCTTTTCTGTTCCAATGGGGTCCACTTGAACATCACAGGGATTTCAATACATCCTCTCACTGGGTCAGCCATGAGCTCCCTATTGCTCAACCCAACCATTTTACAGCAGAAGCCTCACTTGACCTCCGCTGTCTCTGCACTACTTCATGAAATGGGTCTGGAAGCTGTCTTGTGCTGGGACCTATAGTGCTCTCCTGAATTGTGTTTTTACATCATGTGGAACTGACTGTAGTGGCAGCCCCAACAGAGTGGCAGTTTCTAGCCTCTCCAATCACTGTGGCCATTTTTTTTTTTAAATTACAGCCTCAGGGTGAGAGGTACTTGGTTATATCAGAAAGTTATGTGGCTTAAATACCAATGTTAAATACAAAGTAGCACCCTGAAATTGTTGCAGCCATCCGTAATAGAAAGAAACTAAAAAAACGGTGTCCACCAAAATAGGAGCAGGTCTCTTTAATGAGCTATCCAGATTTGCCCACTTCTGTAAAAGAAATTCAACATTTGCACTAGTCAATCAGAAGACCTGGAATTCTTGAAGTTACGATAGTTACAATGGTAGAAGCTATGAATTTTCATGGCAGAACAAAGGATTGCAAATTCTAATTTTAACTCCAAGTTGATAATTCTGTTTACCTTATTTCTCATCTCTGTTAAGCCTCCCTCCAAACATCCATCTATCCATCATGTTGCGTCATTTGGCTATTTTATGAACAACTCAAATTCTGCATGTATTATTCTAAATTCATGATCTTATCTTCCCATGTGCTCTGTATATCCTGTTCGATCAGTTGTACCAAGCTTATTCAGTTATCAAACAAAAAACAACAAAAGCTCATATAATGAATCCTGTTAAGCAAGATTTTAAGGTTCTTCCCATAAAAACTAAAGAAAACACAGGCAGCTAGGTGAGACCATAGATACATTCATTTGCTTTGCTTTAGTAACATTTTTATTATCAATGCCTGTCCAATAATAACAGGAATACCTTAACTAAATACAATAAAATTTATTGAAAAGGAGAAACTTGGGAACTGTACCAAATCCCTCCTTTCTACTCAATTCTACCTAGATTTGGCCTCTGACTCTGTTGATCTGACTTCTGGATGCCTCTGTGTAAACTGGTTAGACTTTCTGAAGTTAATGACAAAAACTCTAATATTATGTAGGACTATCTGGCTGGCAGATTCAACATTACTTTGGTCATCAAAATTTAACAGGAAAAAGTAAGGGACAGATTATGAATGTGTATTATATCATAAGGTAAATCCAAAGTGAATGCAAACATTGGTAGAATACTAGTTGTGCCATATATACACACATACATACAAACACATCATTTAGAAGATAACTATAATATTGGCACATACCCTACTGTAGGACTCAGCTACAAATATAGTCTGGCTTAATGAGCATAGTAACATAAATAATATTTAAGTAGACATACATGTAGCAAAACATTTTCCATTTAACAAAGAACAAAATGATGAGTTCTTTCATCTATTTTTTAAAATTCTGTTCTGAAACCAAGGGACACTAAAATGCACTCATCATGTTTTCCATGAATACAGAAAGGAACAAACAGAAACATGATGGCAATTATAAAAGGTTGATTTTAAATTGATTGTCAAGATGCCATAAAGTGGATACTCTACGAAACTGATTTATTCATTTTTATAGGTTTGCCTCTTTCTGTCTATGCACAGCCTCCTAGAGTTTCAGTTCTGGGCTCTAGCAATTGCAGATAGACAAAATTATGTCAAGAAAATACAATAAAGACATATGCTTAAAGTAAAACCCCCAGCATGGAAGTGAGCAGGTGTGGTGTTCAGCTATGGGCATTAGGAAAGGCAAAATTACTGAATGCATGAAGTTCCTGGAATACATTATTCAAGTACACTTTTTTATTTTCAAAGCTCTTCACCTTTGAATTACAAGTATTTGAGCTTACTGGTTTTGAAATAAGAGTCCCCAGATTGTAACCGGTGGTATACCTGAGAGGGAAGCAACCCAAAAGCATTTGAATGTATGTGTGGGATGCTCTTCACTTCCAAAGGCTTCTGGTGGCAATGAAAGAAAGCATCATGCTGCCACATGGGGCACCTTGCCTGTCCAGCCTGGCCCAAGCAAGTCACCATGTAAATGCATTATGATGACAAATGCCCATTGTTGAATAACAATAGGAAAATTCAAATTCTAGCTTAACATATGTCCTTAGGTATGCTATTTTTTGCAGTTGCATTGTTCTATGTAATATAATGTCAACTGAAGATTTTAGAACTCTAGCCTTTGCCAAAAGCATAATAGTGCAATATTATGAGGACAGAGTCAAAGACTGGAGACATGGCTCAGCACTCAGTTGTTAAAAGCTCTTGCAGAGGTCCTGGGCTTGGTTTCTAGCACCTACGTGGCAGCTCACAGCCATCCATAACTCCAGTTCTAGGAGAACCAATGGCCACTTTTGACCTCCGTGGGCATTGCACACATGTGGTACAGTTATATACATGCAGACAAAACACTCATACGCATAACATAAAAATAAATTTTAAAAAATAAAAAAAGTCAAGAAAATTTGGGAGAGTAGCATGCCTCCATCTTAATGATGAAAAGATGCTAAATCCCAGAAATCACTGAATACACACCTATTATGCAAACTCTCAGTATCCTCCATCATGACACAGATCTTTCCCAAAGATCTTATATAACATGAAATTGACAAAGTCTTTTAAGATACTTAAATCTTGATATTCTTAAATTATACTGTGGATTTAATTCAAAAGTGAGTCTACTCTGTTAGGAGACTGAGATTAATTTTTTTTAATGATGCTAAATGTGTTGAATCAGTAGATTTAGTAATAATAATGGATTAACCATAAATATTAAAAAGTGTTAATGATAATAAACTTTGTGTTCTATTTACCACAATTTTCCTAAGTATACAATGTTTTGTTTCTTAAGATTTTTATAAACAGGGAGAAAAGCATAATACATAATTTATATATACAACTCTCCTGATAATTCTGTGTATAGAATAAGGCAAAATTAGAACATTTTCAAAAGTGCATTTAATAATTTTAAATTCTCATTTTTTCACTTAGTATATTTTTAAAAATTTATGCCAAATTTCAGAGTGCTCTCATAAATTAAGAAAATGCATTCAAAATGCATTAAAAATGTAACAACTTAAAACATAAAGTTAAGCCATTAACTTTCAGTAAATCCAATTTAAATGAGGTTGAAATAACTAAATGAAGTAATATATAAAGATTCCTGAGCCATACAGTTTTACTTTTTACTTTGAACATTTTAATAAAAATAATTTTTAGAGACAGTGACACTTTCAAGTGAAAAAGAAAACGCCTCAAGTTTATGTTTCATGAAAACATAGTCCTGGGATGGTTACACATGGTTGACCTTGGAAATATATGTGCCACATTGAAATTCTTAAAAAGAACTTTGTATTTGTCTTCCACAAGTATTAGAGAACTGGATTATATTTCCTTTGAAGACTAAGGAAATTTATGAAACAGCACACTGAATTATTCTCATTGAAAACTGACCTTCCCCTAAAAATCTAACTTTGGAAGCACCACCAGATCACTCTTCTGATTCCACCATTCAAACTCTGCACCTCACAGAGCATCTCATAAATTAGAAGTACAGTGCTGCGAGCAGTGAAATGTCACGCTGACACGTGGGAGGAGCTCAAGTTCACTTCTGGCACCTTTCTGTGAACTCCAATACTTTTATTTCCTTAAGCCAAAAGAGCCATGAAACCCCGCTGACCTTGCTGAACCCCACCTTGTTAATCACAGAATGTCCCCATTAATCAAATTTGGTAGGGACTCACTGGATCTAAAGAGGTTAAGCCTAAGGACACCATCTGAAGGAGAGACAGCAAAATCCTGAGCTTGACATTCACTTCTCAAATGGTTACAAAGAAACACTACTAAAATGGGCAATAAGATGTAATAACCAAGTAAGAGGAACTTTACTACTTAAATTACTT